GTAGCAGCGGTAGTAGTCGTCGTCGTAGTCGTAGTAGAGGTGTATTGTGGGCAGGTGTAGTAGAGTATAGTAGAGTGATCGTAGTGGTAGTGGTAGTAGTACTGGTCGTGGTCGCGGTAGTGGTGGTGGTGGTAGTCGTAGTGGCAGTGGCACGCAGTGGTAGTAGTAGTAGCAGCAGCAGCAGCAATTGCAGCAGTCGTCGTCGCCGCAGCAGTAGCGCCTTCGCAGTAAGAAGCAGAACCGAATATCATCCAGAACTTTGTACCTGGTGAGACTGCAAAAGACGGTACCAGAAAAGCAAGCTGCAACCGCAAGCCGAGGAGGAAACTTGAGTAAACGCTCCAATTCCAAGCCTGCGAACCGACGACCAAAAGTGAGGACGTAAAACGAATCTTGAAGCCAGAATCAGGGGAAAGCCGATTTCTACCGTTGTCCGCGCACCGATCAACGACCAAGTGGGAAAAGCCGAAAAGCCTCAATTCGGCCACGTTGCGAAGGTTCTTGCTGTCCTGCCGCATCAGCTGCCTCGACACTTCGGGTGTCAGCGTCCGCGACAGCCTAGGTCTGCCACCTGCTGTGTCGGGCGTCAGCGTTCGTGGCAGCTGGCTGGAAGTAGTTGGCGAGAGATCCGGCGTCATTGTCCGCGGCAGTTGTCTTGATGCTCTGGATGCACCGGGAATCGCTGCATGTGCCAGGCTGTCGCAGGAATGCCTGAATTGCAGCCTACAGGTCAGTGCCGACTCGAAAAAGGATCTTCCACCACAAAGTACTGCAAAATCCGAATGCCAACTACCGGCCATGGTAAAGACAGAAAGAAACGAGCTCTAAAGCCATAAACTCCAGGACATCCCAGGACCCTTGATAGACAAAGTGCGTCGATTTCTCGGAGAGATTGCGCCTGGGCTTGGCGTAGCTTAGAGGACTACCACTTGGGATCTTCTTCCTAAATGCACGATCGCCAACCGGGCTTTCAGGATTCTTGGATCAGTTGTATCAGTTTATGCCAGTTCAGAGTCTGGGCTTCTGGAGACACGAGACCTGCTTTCCCTTGGCAGCATAAGGTCCGTCGGCATGAGGAATCGAAGGTCGACATCCTCCTTCACGCTTGAAATGCGTGCGTCTGCGTGTGTCTGTGTTTTGCTTTTCGTCTGTGTCTGTGGCTCGATCTCTGTCTCGGTCTCTGCAGGTATGTCTATGTGTCTCCATGTCTGTGTCTCTGTGTGTCTCTGTGCCTGCTTGCTTATGTGCCTGTGTGTCCAAGGGTGTCCAAGTGTCTAAGCGCCTGCGTGGTGTGGGCATGTCTGTGTGCCTGTGTGCCCCTGTGCCTGTGTTTCTGTGTGTCTGTGCGCCTGTGTGCCAGTGTGTGTGCTTGCCTGTGCGGCCTGTGTGGGTGCTGTTGTCTGTCTGTCTGTCTGCTTGTCTGTTTGTCTGTTTGTCTGATTGTCCGCCTGTCGGTCTGTCTTTGTGCGTCTGTCAGTCCGTCCGTCTGTCTCTCGCTCTCTTTCTTTCAGCAGGGCTATGGGCTAGAGGGTTGCCCCGCTCTCTCTCTCTCTCTCTCTCTCTCTCTCTCTCTCCCTCTCTCTGTCTGTCTGTCTGTCTCTCTGTCGGGGCTGTCTGTCTGTCTCTGTCCGTCTGTCCGTCGGTCCGTCTGTCGGGCCGCCTGTCTGTCTGTCCTGTCTCTGTCCGCATCCATGCTTGTTGACATTCCGGACGTCGTGGGTGCCCACAGCCAAGACAGGCACGGTGTATGGCAGGCCGCAAGTAATGACAAGTAATGCAAAGATGCGTTTGCAAGTGCCTGGGATGGCATCAGCTGAATACTGCTCCAAGGCCATGGCTTTGCAGAGCGTGTTCGGTCCAGCTTTCACACAATGTGCAAAGCTGTGCACACGAGGTAAACAATGTAAACATGTTACGTAGAATGCGTAGAATCCAAAGGCTTCAGGCTTTTGCGGGTCCATCTAAGCTCCACTTTAGCTGCCCTTTCCAGGGTTCTCGGTTCACATCAGTAACAGGCAGAAGCATCGACAACTCCCGTCTTGATGAGTACTAGCAGCCAACATTCATGTCCCAAACTTCTGCCAACTCCCGTCCGGAGTGGCTCCCTCCGACACAATGGTGGGATGATCCGGTTCCTTCCTTGGTCATGGGCAGGAGCTCGCTCTAGATTCCAAAGGTGCCTGTCATGTTGTCAAAAACCTAACCTGGGCGGTGACTCCTACCGTACGTGTCACTTCCATCACTGCAACTGCAGTGGGGCCTCCATGGGCCCACTCAAGAACCAGACTAACCAAACGATCCAAAAGCTAAATGTGCCAGACTGCTAAACGCAAAGCCATGGTGCTCGACAGTGCCAGCCCTACAATTCTTCGCGCCCTTGCAGTTCTGCGCACAGCAGCTGGTCTCCTGGCCGGCTGAACCGGTACCTGCTTGGCCTTCCTGTTCTGTTTGGATTTCGGATACGGAACGTTTGATTCCGCCCAGCGAGCTTCACGGAGTTTCCAGCATGTACAAGGTTGACTCGGCATTTCGAGTTCGAGAACGGGCAAATTGCGGCAAAGCCAACCCATGTAGCCGGTATCTTCTGCAACCATGCCACAACAAAAACAGCTGAGCTGAACTAGCAGAATGCATTTGCAGTGATGTTTCTTGCCGTGCACGCAGGCAAGCATTTCGGGGATGTGTTTTTTGGCCCCTCTCGATTGCTCAAACCCTCAGGCACGCGATGCAACTATGATTAACCTCAAGTCTTACCGTCCAAGTGTTTGATCTGTACATCTGGGTGGGTCCTGTCCCATGGGAAAGTTTCTGTCGCAAATCGAGCAGGTGCTACAAGCTCGCTCGACACTTTCTGCGGGCTTTGCTAAAGATCGGGTGCTGCAATCCTGCCGTGGCTTCGTGACTGCGTAGAGCTCTCTCTGTGGGATTCTTGCATTTTCTGGGCCGTGGCCTTGAGCCGAACATGGCAGCTGCCGGCACCGACATGGTCAGAGAAACCTTTGGCATTTATGGCCATGGCGGCCTTTAGTGCGCTCTTGGCCCCACAGCTTCAAAAAGCTTCCTGCCAAAGAAACCCTGCACCGAAGTTGGCTTCACGTAGGAGGCCGGAGGGCCAAATCGACTCAGTCTCGCGGAAGTCAGAACGCAGAACCCTCTGAGCGCTATACCGCTGCTGCAACGCAACCTTGTCAGCATCTGAGATTGCTTGAATTGAAATGACCACACAGTGCCTGACTTCAAGCATAGGACGGTTGCCTTAGCCTCCAGAGCCTCGAAATTGTGGAGCTCGGGTTCCAGAATGAGTCTTGTGTCTGATGCCCTCGCGGGTATCTTTTGTGTTCAGACCCAAAGTAAGGCGTTCTACGGAGTTCTACCGGCTCTCGCGCCGAGGACTTCTTGGCACAGGCACACAGGCAGCATCAGAGAGCCTCAACAAAAAAACCAACGCGGGCCTTTTGCGGTTCACGGCAGGGCGCACGGCCCATGGCATGGGCAAGACAACTAGAGCTTGGTTACGAAGTTGCTCGACTGTCTTGCTCAAGTATGGTGTGTGTCTGGCTGCGAAGTGAAGAAAGACGACAGAACCTTTAATGACATGCAAGGCGAACTCTAAACCACGGGGAATGGCACGAGTCCGGTGAGTTCTGCCATGCAGAAGCCACGAAGCTGACCAAAGCAGAAACCCTTGCTGAAATCCTCCTGGAAGATTGCAGCTAGCGCACTTCTCGATAAGTGTCTTTTCTCATCGGGGCGGCGCCGGGTCTCTGTACACCGGCGTCTCCGCTCGGCACGAAGAAGCCCTGCACAGAGCACACTGCACACTGCACTGCACGGCATTGAGGAGGCGAGCTGCACGGACTCTGACTCTGGAGCGGGCAAGGGCGGCGCACCCTTAAGGGACCCCATGCCTCCCCCGCTAGCCCGCAAGTGTCCAACAACGCCCCCGCCCCATGTGTTTTAGGGTAGATCGTGAGAGAAGCGAATGTATATATAATACATCATCATATATAATATTGAAAATGCGTGCGCAGCCGCACGGGATAAGACCACGTCTCGACTGCAAGTTGCACAAAAGAAGTCCTGCACACAAGCCCTGGGTGAGAAGCCAGGAAAGGGGTTCGTCCCCAAAGCTCATGTTCTCGAAAAGCACGGACAGCTGTCGTAGAGTTTGAGAGTCAGAGTGCTCATGCCCCGCCTCCATGAAAGCACTACTTCTCCAACTCGTACACGACATCGGTGCGAAGCACATATTTCACACCTTCCTTCAGGTTGGCAGATCTCCAGCAAACACGGCTGTAACACCGCTAGCTCACCTGCCTCAACGCCCGCACCCTCGTGGGTCATGCACCTCAAGGCTAGGCACTGCCACGTCTCCAATCGTGAAACTTCCTCACAAGTTGCTTCTCGCCAGCCGGGTGAGAGTGACAAAGACGATGCGTGGATTTTGCATGTGAAGGCAAAATGCTGCTTCGCCGTCCCCGGCTGCGGGATCACTACGTGAACTTCATGTAGACTTCTCTCGTGGGACATCGTGACGCGGTGGAACCGCCACCGCTGTATGAACTAGGTTTGCGACCAAGCCTCCAGTATCCACTGTTCTGGAAATCCAGTGGGAAGTGCTGATTAGTGGGAGTGTGTCCTGCTGACGTTGGAGATACAGTTCCTTCGTTCCTTCAGTTGCAAGACTCACGGTGACCAACGCCGAAAGATGAAGACATCCATGCGGATTCAATGAGACTACGACTGCTCCAGGCGTGCATTGCGTACGTTTGCAGAATCGGAAGAACGACTGACCTCCTCATTATCCGTTTCAGTGTTCAACCTCCGAACCAAGATAGAGCTACTGTCTCTGAAGATCTGGGACTTCTCGTCTTCCCACATTCAGCATTATGCAGCATGCTGGAAAACTGAAGCGGGAAACCTAATCGAAAACCGAGAAAAAGGTGCTCAAGCTCTCGCGAGCGCCCAAGCCACTCGTCTCCATGGCCATGGAAGAGGCAGACACCGCGAGTGGGTGGAAAAGCGAGCGCAGGTCGCTTGCCGTCATGATCCTGAAAAAACTCCAATAAGCTCGAGACGCAGAAGGCTCGTGTCGGGTCGGCTTGGAGAACTTGCGGCTAGGTAGGCCACCGCTGACGGCGATCATTATCGCTGGTCTGGGATCGGAAACCTAGCTGCAATGATAGTCGTGGTTAGCGATAGTTGTTTTGGTCCTCACCTCCACTGAATAGGAGGACTTTCGATGTCAAAGTGAAGCGACGGCAGTTGGGTGAAGGAGAATCAGTCGTGGCGGTCGAACGGCAGTTCTCAAGTCGTTGATCGTTGGTAGCAGTGACTCAGTGGTGTTATCAATAGTGGGATTGGTGCGGCGACTTCAAACCTCTTCCCTGTCTTATCTCCATCCTCTACAGCCCAGCGCCGATTCCCAACCGTCTTGCCTTCCAGAAGACCGTCTCACCACCACGAACCTACAAAAGGCCAGGCGTGTAACTCGAGCATGTAGGTCATGCGCTGGAATGCACCAAAATTAGCGGTTGGCATTGACAGGGTTCGGCCTGCACCGTTCCCGTACTAAAGAGGGGTTCAGCGAAAATCCGTGCTGAATCTGAAGTCAAAATGCTTTGCCTGGAGGTCCTTTGGATCGCGCTCGCCGCCATTCAGATATACTAACCTGAAGGCGCAACGAGACAAATTCCGAGAAGGAGCTCGCGCATAGCGCTTGATCATGTCGCAGGCATTGCAAGCATCAGCACCGACGATCTAAATCCAGCTATTCAACGAGTTATACATACGCCACATGGGCGGCTTCAGAATGCTTCTGGGAGTTGTATTCTTCGGCCTTTTCCTCAGACTCGGTTCCGGAGTCTTTGTGTGGAGTCTAGATTGTCATTCAAGTCGCCTCCCGGCGTTTAGCGATTAGTTCATGACTTCGGCGTCGCGGTCCTCAGGCAGCTGAGCCCAGGCGACGAGCTCAAAAGACGCACGTGGTGATAGGGGGAACTGTGAAACCGATATCATCTGCGCTGCGCCAAACGAAGAAAGCGACGAGTCGCGACAGTTGAACAAATGAGAGCCCTGATAATTCATCAAACCTTCCATAAATCACAAGCGAGTTGCACAGTGAAATGCGTTCGCCCGCCCATCTCGGGCTCGTCGCGACTACCGTCCACGTGCTGGCCGAACCTGTTCCGGAAGCAGAAACCAGATCCCAATGCATGTTCGAAAGGTGCGGCCTGGTGACCTTGTGAACACTACACCTGGTCCCATCCCTAGCAAATCCAAACACTGAAGTTTGACCTGGCCTGGCAAACCGCGCAAAGGCCCAATCGATTTTTTTCCATCTTCGCGCGGCGCTGTGTTCACATAATTTCTTGAAGTCACCAAAAAGCATCGGTAGGCCAAAAGAATCTACGGAATTCACGGTTTGGGCAAGTGTCGGTGCCGCTTGGTATTCAAATTCAGCCTCTAACGGACTCTTCTCCAACATCCGGCTGAACCTGAAGCACAGCGTCCGAACGCCTGACTGTACACACAACCAACCCTGAATTTCTGGCCTCTGTCCTTTGACGTAGCGATAAACTCGGATGCGTGGAGAGCAACCTCATCTTCGGCATGCTCGCAGGATCGGGCTGCCATGGAAGGAGTCGTTCGATGAAAACGGCGTATGTTGAAATGCAAGTAGCTGGGCTCTTCAGGAGATGCAGGAAGCCTTGTCCTGGTCAATTACACAATTTTGTCCCAAATCCGTTCCCATAACCTGGCCGACACACGAAACGTTTGGAATTCTCCGTGGCTGGCCCATTCCAAGAGTTTGCCAACCTTTGTGAGCATCTGCAGTTGCTTGCAATTGCTGCACAGTGATCTCGCATCACCAACCTGACCCGTAGAGCCCCAATCATTCAAGCAAGAACCCTTCTGCTGCCTGGTCGGGAACAATCTTTCGGTGTCGATTACTAAAAGTCCTTTCTTAAGACATGTGCTCAAAGCGTCAAGGGTCTGGAACGAATGACTAGAATCTAGAATGCGACTAGATATATATATATATATATTGTTTATTACTATGTATTTACTTGAAACGATCCAAGCTTCCCCTCCGAGCTCCCCCCCTCCTTCCCTCCCTCTCCCTCCCTCCCTCCCTCCGTCTCCCTCCCTCCGAGGAAGGGCGGACACCCAACCCTTCGCACGCGAATGTGCACTTGTGGTGCACAGGTTTTCGATCTCCACCACAAGTATTTTTCGTGATGGCTCGGCTAGAAAGGAAGCATCGACTGCACCCCCAGTTTGGCTATTGCTCGATGCATGCGCACTCCAACAGACAGACAGCAGCACACACGAGCAAGCTTCCCTTTACCCCGCTGGTTTCGGAGATCGGGAAGGAAAACGTGCCCCCACTACTGCTTCGAGCGAATGTTCTCGGGCAGAGCAAGCTTAAGCTTCGAGCACAACGAAAACGCCACCGACGACAAGCCCGCAGAAGGCAGGGGAGCGTGGCAACCTGCCACTCGTTCTGAAGAAGCTACGGTCAGCGTGGTGACGCCGCTGATTGACAAGGAAGACCAGTCGCAAGAGCATACTCCCGACCAGCAGATATACACGCCAGCTGGAGAGGCACGACTCATAGCATTTCAGAGGACACTCACGGTAGACGATGCTGTTGCTGGTATCGAAGCGAAGACTTTGCCACTACGCGCCAAAAACAGGTCGTAGGCAGCTGAACAGCTCAGGCTGCATGAAGGCCCGGTCGCCGCAACCCTGCCGAAGGGCATCCAGCTCGGCTTTGAACCAGAGCCGCAACAGCAGCAGCAGCAAAATGCGCAGGAAACCTTTCCCGCTGGAGATCACTGCCAGGGTCTATCAGCACATGGCTATTGACTGACCAAGGCCACGGTAGAAGCTTGGAACTGCATTTACAACGCCAGCATGATCCGCAAGGTTGGAGTACCAACCTCACGCTTGAAGAGCCTTGTAGCCTACGCGAAGTTCTGGGCGTGGAGGATTAACCCCAAGACTGGGGAAGAACCCACCCAGGGGATGCGACCCCCGGCCTGCCACGCCTTGGGCCAACGAGGACAATCTTGATAGTGTCGGCTCAGGGAGCAGTGGATAATTAATCGTTTTTCCCCCCAGATGTGCAGGAGGTGCTTCATCCCTGTGGGGCAGCTGAAACATCTAGTTCCTCTGCTGTGTGGATTTGAGGGTGTAGAGTTTGCGCGCCGTCAGCCCTTGTGCAAAGGCAGGCAAGCCATGCGCATGCCACCTTAGCAGTGGTGGCCACACTGGGCGGTTTTGGGCCAACTTCCCCCCTTTCCCAGTATTTCCACGTTGCGTATGCTGAAGGCTTTGTTTGCACCTGGGCAGTCGCTTTGGGCGGCCTTAAAGTGCAGTCAGTGAGCCCCTTTCGGCCAAACGTGGTTTGACCTTTCAGAAACCATCGCAAAGCTTTTACCAGAGTGCCAGCAGTATCACGAACTCACTCAGAACTCAGAGGGTGAGTTTCTCCCCTCGTGGATCTCAGAACTGGGAGTGCCTCACCCCGGAGTAAAAGCCGCTGAAGGTTCACCCCTCTTTTGCACGTTGGGTTTTCATCCGCTGAGATTCTCGCGGACCACACCGTCCCAGTACCGTGTCCTTAGGCTGTTCCCCGGACCCACAACACGTAATATCTCTCTCTCTCTCTCTCTCTCTCTCTACCAGGTGGGGAGAGAAATCCCTCTCTCTCTCTCTTGCTTGCTTGCTTGCTGGGGGTTTGGGGTCAAGACCCCCGGCCCGAAGGCCAACCCCTCCACGGTCCGCGACTGTGTCTCTGCGACCCCGTTTTGGGGTGTTGCGAGTGTGTTCCCTCCAGTCAAGCACAGTCAACCCTCCCCCAACAAACACCCCTGCTAAGACCGTGACCGTGCAGTTACACCCCCACTCTGTGCTTTCCTGGGTCCTCCACACTGCCTTCTACGAAGATCCCCCAACAAAGCTCCACTTTGTAAAGGGGGTGTGGGGTGTGCCAGTCCACGAGAAAACAGTGGAAACACCAGACATCAAGCCTGCAGTTAGTTCCTGGCTCCCCCACGGACATGGACTCTACCGGGTTAACCCAACCTACCTGCCTCCCCACCTGATCCTGAACAGAACCTTGCAGCAGCACTACC